ATTAAAATAACTTCGTGGAATTTAATAAATTTGTTTTATTAAAATTATTATTTTTTATTATCCGGACCTTACAATTTCCAATCTAATTTTTTAACCTTAAAAAAAAAAAAATGCCTTTTTTAAATTCAAATAAAAGTATCCAGAAGATGGCATTTAAACAAAAATTACATTTACAAATAAGATTTAAAAAAAAAAAAAAAGGAAATCAATCTAAATAAAGACAATGAAGATGTGCATGTTTTGTAAGGGAGTTTCTAAAGTACTCGAAAAAAAAAAAAAAAAAAAAGATTGATGAATAAATAAAACAGAGGTGCAATTTGATAAATCCTTTTTAAAAGTCATGGTAAACTTTGAATTAAATGTTAATTCAAAGAGGGATAGTAGCTTGTAGATTCTTTAAAGTCCCAATAAAACTGTGAGATTAGGATAGAGTTTTCTTTAAATGAGCTGGTCTTAAGTAGTAAAAGTGGATAACAAAAAAAAAAAAAAATTAATTTTTTAAAAAATGTAGAAAAAAAACTAGAAAAAGTTCTATTTTTAAGCTTGAAAAAGACTGTCACGTGGACGAATTGTTGGCTAAATAGCGAATTTTGTGGACTAAATAACATTTTCCTTATAAAATGTTTAAAAAAGTTCTTTTTTGAAAAATGGAATCACGTAGCGTAGCAAATTGTTGTGCAAATGAATTTAGTGGGACAAAGAACATTCTCCAAATTAAATTAAAAAAATTTTTGTTTTCCTCCTTTGTAAATACTGACAAATACATTTCAAAAAAATATTCATCAACCTAGCCAACTTTATTTTTAAACTTTGAGATTCAAAGCTTTAAACTGTCATTCCTGGCGGGCAATGTCAACGTGGTGTAGTGGTTATCACGTCTGCTTTACACGCAGACGGCCCCCAGTTCGATCCTGGGCGTTGACAATTTTTTTTATCTTAACTTCTCAGCTTTTTTTGTATTTTAAATTTTTTTTTTTTTAAACATCTGTAAACGAAACCCAAAATAAAAACTTTGATGGTGACTAGTTACACTCTCCCACTTCTTTACCTTCCACTCTTGTTCCTCTTCCTTTCATACTCTTCTTACACTTTTCAGCATAACCTTGAATTTTCTTTTTTATTTGTATTTTTTTTATATTTTATATATACTTTAAACTTAATTTTACCCAATGGAAGATTTATCTCGTTACGAAGATATTGATACATTAGATTATTTACCAGAAGATAATTCTCGTTCTCTTATCAATGTTCCATCCTCTTCTTCAATGGGAACTTCGAAATCTTCTCTTCCTATACCAGAATCAAATATAAGCAATCAAGTTCGAAAGTATTTTTATTTTATTTATTTATTTTTTAGTTTTATCTCAAATGAGAGAATCCTTAATGTCAAAAGAAGAAGGAGAAAAAGAAAAAGAAAATTGTATCTTTCATTAATGTTTCTTTGGTTCCGCTCTCTTTTACAGTTGGATTTGTATTTACCCTATATATTTTGATGCAACTAAATCAAAAAGACCTCGAAGGATTTCTAAAGAATTAGCATCAAAAGAAGTGACCGTGGAAATGATAGCACAAGCCTTAAATAGCTTATTAATTCCATATGTAATTGAGGTTAGCCATCCATTGCTATTTTTCATTATAAATGTGAAAAAGGACAAAAATTATATATATAAATAGATATATATATTTCCTAATTTTTCTTCTTTCGTGATCAGTTTCCTAAGCATACCAAGGAACTAAATCCCATCCTATTTGACTTATGGCGGGTTTTTTTTCAATTTATATACTTTTCTGCCATTTCTTAATCTTCTTGTCAACTTTTTCTTTATGTAGGCAAATAAAACTCATCCCCAGGATCCATTTCGCCCTGGACGAGTTCGGGCACCACTATTCAAACCATTAAGACGTATGTATTTTCCTATTTCTTTTTTTAATTTTCAAAGAATTTTTTTTTGCCTTTTGTTTTTTTCAATGTTTTGCCTGTTTTGCCTGTTTTCACTTTTTTTTTTTTTTTTTTTTTTTTACATAAAAAAAAAATAAAACATAGGACGAATTTTGTTTAAGCAAATAGCTCAACGATTACAACCTTCACAGTCAGCAATTTTGCCCTCTTCCTCTTCAAATCTTGAAAAAGTTAAAAAAAATAGACCTAATATTAATAAAAAATCAAAAAAATAACAGTAAATTTCGAGGCGAAGAATAATTCTTCTCACAAAAAGAATCAAATGATTCAGAAATAAGACGTTAGTTGTTTAATTTATTTTTACAACATTTTTACAACTATAAAAAAAAAAAT